ATGTTTCAACAAATGAAAATTGGTTGATGTTCGTCATAAAGTTATATGTTAATTGATCAATTATCTGTTTCAAAATTGTTGAATGGGGTATATTTGCACTTCATAATCCTGTATATATGCAGCCATTGCAAAGTTAAAAGTAGCCAATATAGGAAGCTAATTGTTAATGGCCAATCCCAGGGCTAGGAACTGATCGATCAACATTATAACCAGCAAACTGTTGCCCTGCAACAAGCTTATTGGCATGAACCTTTTTACTTGGGGAAGAAGACAAAACTTCGGCTAGTACGAGTGTATGACAAAAACTTCAGCTTATTTAGTACTGAATTTTTTTACAAATGAACTAAATAATTTCAGCATCTTCTGCTGAAGTTTTTGAAAAAGCTTTACGACAAAACTAATGAATTCAGGACAAAACTTCAGCTTATTTAGTGCTGAAGTTTTTACAAATAAACTAAATAACTTCAGCATCTTCTGCTGAAGTTTTTGAAAAGCTTTACGACAAAACTATTGAATCCAGGACAAAACTTTAGCTAAAACATGCTGAAGTTTAGCAAATAGAGAACAAAACTTCAGCTAGTAGAATGCTTAAATTCAGGAATTACAAACAACTTCAGGCCCGTCTACTAGAATGCTGAAGTTTGTGTGATTCACTTTGCTACTTCAGGCGCGTATGCTTGAAGTTTACGCGAAAAGTGGGTACGCTTGCAATTTTTTTTGCAAAGTGGGTATAAGTTAAAACGTGACCCAAAAAGCGAGTATAGATGCAAATCCCCCTGTAATCTCATTGTCCGTATATATTATAAATAATTCACGCCAAAAATAATAGTTGGTATTAAAATTTAATGAACTCGTCCCAAATTCGGCTCTTACACTAGGGTATTTCTATCTATGTGTTGGCCCAGGTGAAGTTTGTTTTGATGATTGACAAAGGAACTCAAGCATGAACCAAGGTTCATCCACAGCGTACACAGACACGGGCAGATTCGAGCATAAGGGATGCACGCGAGGGAGATAAGTTTATCTTGTTATATATGATATCTCCTGATAAAAAAGGTTGCATAATGATAAGGAGAAGGACTCCTTACTCAAATAAAATATTATCCAAGATAAGGAAGGAGTTAGAAGTTGAAGTTAACTAGAACTCTTCCACCAAAGAAGAGTATAGCATTGGAACTCTAGTTATTTCCTATTCTACTAACTCTATAAATTACAGGATGTTCTCACTTTACAGGTACGCACAAAAGCTGAAAAACGTGAGGTTGAGGGGAAAATAGCAAGGCATTTTGCAAGCAATTCTCCTGTAATTCAAGTGTGCGAACCTGAAGCTACATGAACCAGATAGAAGAACCAGTTCCAAGTGTCTTTCCTTTATTCTAGTTTCATTGTAGTATGTGTTTTCGAATTGTACCTTTCAGCTTTATCTAGAAGCAATTGTATTAGGTACTCTGAGTATTCAAGTTAGAGTTAACTTGAAGTTGTCGCAACAGTTAGAGGTTGGTTGCCACAATGAGATTAGAGGTAATCCTTAGGTTTACAAAGAGTTTTTGTAAATATTGTTTTGGCTCAGTGATTTAGTGAAGTGTTGGGGAAAATCCTACTGAGTAGTAGGTCGTGATTTTTTCACCTTTTGAGCCGGGTGTTTTCCACGTAAAAATACTTGTGTTCTTTACTTTTCGCATTTAATATTTCCGTAATAGTAGTTTAAGGAACACATAGAAAAATCAGGTCCTTCTATAATCTATGCACGCAAAAATTGGAAACCACACAAATCATCCCTATAAAACATCAATATGGTATAAAAAAAATAGGGGGCCTTTGTTGGGAATTTGTCCTGATTTTCTTACTTTGTTTGGATTTATTCTTTTGCTTGATATTAACCATAATTGTTTTACTATTCCTTAAAGGAAAATATAGATCTCTTCCATATTTGGCGGATTCTTTTATTGGAGGAAAATGTTGTGTCCTCTATAAGTGAGAGACCTTCCTTCACACAACAACACAATCACATTCACAATGTAGTCCTTAAGAGAGTCTTGTTTAGGGGAAGATTTTTCTCTCAATAGTTTTTTTTGTTTGTTTTTTATATTAGTTTTCTCATATGTAGGTCAACTGACCAAATCATATTAAATTATTATGCCTAATTTAGTATATGTTTTTTTTTGTCATCTCATTTATCGTTCAAGGTTTGCATTGTTAGCTTCTGCATGACGTCTTGTTATTTTCGACACCAACAAGTGGTATCAGAGCCAATGGTTGAAATGAGATTAAAGACAAGTTCAAGGCGAGTTCAAATCAAGCAACGACCAATTTGACGATAATGAAGATTTTTATCAACAAAAAAATGTCAAAAATACTATACGTGGAGATAAAAGTTTCAACCAAATGGTTTCAAAACTCATGTTGTTGCATATTTAAAAACAAAAACTATTTTTAACCCATACATGAGCTCGAACTTTTCCTCATGTTTTTTCTTAATGCATAGGCTCCACTTTCAACCTTTTGGTTACTTTCAACGCATGAGCTCCAATTTTGAACTCGTACTTACTATTAACGCTGAGCTCACACTTTTAATCCTACTCACTTTTAACATAGGCTCCATTTTTAAACCTATCCACTTTAAACGTAGGGTTCTACTTTTAACTCTGCTCCCTTTTAATGCAGGGGCTCTAATATTTTTATAAGTGCTCATCTTTAAAGCACGAGGCTCCAATTTTTAACCCACACATTTTTGTAACTACCTCAAGCAGCAGTGATGAAGAATATGTGAAGAAGGCGGATCAAGCATTATCAAGAAAATTCAGGCCAAATGGGAGAATTGTTCGGAATTTTCCCGATTTTCTTGCATTATTTGAATTTATTCTTTTACTTGAAGGAAGAGTAGAATATTAACCATAATTATTTTACTTTTCCTTAAAGCAAAATATAGATATTTCCCATATTTGACGGGTTCCTTTTTTAGAGGAATGTGTTGGCCTCTATAAATTGAGAGATCTTCTTTTACACAACAATACAATAACATCCACAATGTAGTCCTTAGAGAGTCTTGTTTAGGGGGAGATTTTTCTCTCAATAATATTTTTCTGGTATATTAGTTTTCTCACATGTATGTCAATTGGTCAAATCATATTAAATTATTATGCCTAGTTTAGTATATGTTTCTTTGTCGTCTCATTTATCGTTCAAGATTTACATTGTTAACTTACGCCTGACGCGTTGTTATTTTCGACCCAACATCATTGTCATCCTCATCAACTATCCCAATTTAATATTTTTCCAGAAATTGTACCACTCTAGGGAACAAATGCAACAGTCCCATGCCCATCCTGGCCATGTGAAATATCTCAGAATTGTTTTTGTTTATTAGCAATATATCTAATCCAACACTGCCAAAAACTCACATACTGACATCTGCATTAAATATTGTACCCCCCCCCCCCCAAGTGTCACTCCCATTTGATGTCTACAGCTGCCTTTGTTACCTAGCTACTAACCGTTACACTAGAAATTTTATGTAAATGTGTACTTTTTCTATATATAGTGGAGCAGTGCCTTAAAATATTCGAAGAATCATTATTTATCTATGGTTTTTTGGGTTAAAGTGTCACTGAAACTATTCCCAAGATTCCATGGAGAGTGAAATAGTGGGAGGTAAGTTACAAAAACCCACTTACCCAACTGTGTATTTAGGAATAAAATGCACAACTTTCTAGGTAAAAGAGTTAGTACTTCAAATTTATTTTATTAATAATGCGTTTAATGTGAATTTTATACTATCAATACTATCTCCTGTCCACAATAAGTGGCCATTTTATCTTTGACATACCTATTAAGGAAATACAAAAGAAAAAGGACGTAATACTAAATTAACCTTAATTTAGAATATGTAAATAAGGGCAAATTTTGAAAAAAAAAATTAAATCCTTCTTGATTATATAAGTGGACACTTATTTTGCACCAAAATAAAAAGGTAAAATAGTCATTTACTGTGGACCGGAGGAAGTATATTTTAGTCGGTTATAATAGATTATTAATGTTATGAAATATATATATTTATATGGATGTCCACTAATCAAATGTAACTCCCACTACTCTTCTCCATTATGTAGATAACCCCCACTACTTCTCATCATTATTGTTGTAACTCCCACACCTCCATAACCTACCCATGATCTTCCTACATGATCTCAAATGCTTAATAGCATATTTATGGAATTCTTTTGATATACCTCAATGTTGTACTATAAATAGAGGATGAGAACTCACTTTGTAACACACTTGAATACATAGAAGAAATAAAAAAGTTATCTCTTCTTCTCTTATTCTACTTATCTTCTTGTTCTATATTGTTACTTTAAGCTAAGTTTTGTAACAATTAATTCATTTTTCATGTTATTATTTCAGGATTGATATGTAGAGTTCCTAATTGCTGCAAGTTAACTTAATCTAATAGTATAAAGATTTTTTCTACTCAATATACATATATAAGTTTTTTACTTATTAGAGAGAGGGGTGGGAGGGGGTTATTTTTATTCATCTTTGTATTATTACGAATTTAACTTTTATATATTGATATATAAAAGAATTCTTACATTATTATGTCACTTAAAAGATAGTTACGAGTAGCTATATAAAAAAAGTGAGATTAGTGACCTAAAAAGTAAGATATTTTTACTTACTAAAATATACTTCCTTTGTTTCAGTTTATCTAAATCTATTCTCTTTTTGATCTGTTCTAAAAAGAATGACCCTTTTCTAAATTTAGTAACAATTTAGCTTAAACTTACAATTCTATCTTTAATAAAAAAAATTTATATCCTCACAAATACTTTGGGGTCTTTTTGACTCGTTTAGGACCACAAATTTTCTTAAATTCCGTGCCCAGTCAAACATGTTCACATAAATTGGAATGAAGAGAGTATTTAAATACATTAATACTATTAAAAAAATTGAGTTGTGAGTATATATAATTTAAATCCTTAAATTATTAGGAACAATTTTTTGGTGTGTACCATGCAAATGAAGACTATTTTACTAGAAAAGTTATCAGCAGAATACAGTGGATCTGAACTTGATATCTTTTAGCTCTGCCAGTCTCAAAAAATCATGGTTCCGAGGATTTAGTATTCCCTGCACTCTCTGCTTCACTCTTCAGCTCCTCTTCAAGTTTGTTATGGTGCACTACTCTTTTTCCTCTTCTTTCTACTAAAATTAACTCTTTTACTAATTAACTCATTTTGCCAAATCTTAAATGAATTCAGTTGTTTGTCGTCTATATTTGAGGTTTTTTTCATTTAGTACACTGTTTAACTTTGCATATTAATTATTTCAGTGCTGCTTCTGAAGGTTTTGTTCTTTGTTTCAAACAGTGGATCCCATTTTCAGAACTAAACATAAGATAGTTCTTTGCTGCTACTTATAAAAAACTGAAGTTTAGCACAAATCTTAAGTATCTAGATCTGCCTTTAAAATCCATATAGACTCTTTAGAATTGTTCATAAGTAATTAGGCAAAAGTAATCAAGAGAAGGGGTGATTTTGTTGGTACAGTACAAGCAACCACAAGAAGTTGTGGTATATAAAAATGAGATCCATAGAGGACAAAGGATGCTTGAATTATGGACAAAAACAAGAGGTTGTAGGAGGAGGCAGCAGTATGAATTTTGAGTTTCATAAAGGGAATGGAGTAAATCGTGCAACGACACACCATAGAGCAGCAGCCTCAGGTAAACCAACACCATCAAAATGGGATGATGCACAAAAATGGTTAGTGAATCTTTCAAGAGGTGGAGGAGAAAAACAACAATCTAAAGCCACCCCTCGAAACTCGAATGCTGATGACTTAAGGTTGATTGCACCAGTTCCAAAGAAAGAGGATTATTCGAGTGGCGAGGAGGGAGATTCTAGTAGTATGATTCAATTTGAAGTTGAAACAAAGAAAGTTGATTGTGATGAATCAATATGGAGAATTAATAAGGCTTCTAATAACAACTCTGCCTCAGCTGTTCGATCGATATGTGTTAGGGACATGGGAACAGAAATGACCCCAATTGCAAGCCAAGAACCATCAAGAACTGCCACTCCAATTAGAGCTACAACTCCAGCAGCAACAAGTCCAATATCCTCAGGATCTTCTACTCCTGTTAGGGGCCACAATGGGCTACTGCAGACTATAGAAAATGGTCAAACTGTTGCCACCACAGCTCAGAACAGGGGAAATGCAGGGACTACACGAATCGTTCACGATGCAGAAGAAACTATTGACAATGAATTAGCAGCTAAGAAGGAAACTGAACCTGCAAATCCACTAGAAACTCGCGCAATGGCTTGGGATGAGGCTGAACGTGCCAAGTACATGGCCAGGTAATGTTCTAGATAGGCTGCTCTGTTGACTAAAAATTACCGTACTATATATTTTTTCATTTCAATAACTTTTATCCAAATACATAACTGCTTATCAGTTCCGGCATGCAGTTAAAAGCTATGTTGCTTGGACTCACCGAAAATGTTGCCGGGTGCGTGTCGAATTCTCCAAAAGCAGTGTATTTTTGGAGAATCTGACACGGGTGCGGCAGTAGTTTGGAGAGTCCGTGCAACATAGGTTAAAAGCGATTTTCATGCTTATTTGCTACATATAATCAACTAATCTAAACGAGCCTGTTTGTACCACTCTTTCTTTGCGTTGATCATATGAGTAACAGCATATATATTGATTAATCTGCAGGTATAAGCGCGAAGAGGTGAAAATACAAGCTTGGGAAAATCATGAAAAGAGGAAAGCTGAAATGGAAATGAAAAGAATGGAGGTAATCAATCTTAATTCATTTTGACATGTCACTTTCTTTCACTTTAATCTTACTCAGTTCGCTAGCATTAGTGTTAGTATGATATCTTTTATTCATAGATGGCTATTACTACCTAGAGTTTGACTGCATTCTTGGATTCAATCTTATTTTATCTTGCTGTTATTCCTACTTGTTGCAATTACCTTTTCTTTTTCAATCGTTCTCTAGCCGAGGGCTATCGGAAACAGCCTCTCTGCCCTTCCAGGGGTAGGGGTAAGGCTGCAAACATCTTACCCTCCTCAAACCCCACTTGTGAGAAACTACTAAGTTTGTTATCGTTGTTGTTGTACTTTCTTTCATTTTAATTTTTACACATCTTGCTTGCGGCGGTGAGTACCTGATTTATTGTTAGAGACAAATATAAAATATTAAGGGGTCGTTTGGTATGAGGTACAAGTAGAAATACTTCTCCGATAAAAATTTAATATCATCTTAATACTTTGTTTGGTTAGCAAACCTGTGATAAGTTATCCTGGGATTAAAATTAGTACCGGGATAACTTACACCTTGTAGGGGGTGGGATAATTAGTGTCGGGATAACTTATACCTTCTTCTTATAAATTATACAAATGTCATTTTTAATATAACATACCAAACAGTGGATAAAAACAATACGAGGATAACTAATCCCAGCATAACTTATCCCATCATAACCTATATTCAAACCAAACGACCCTAAGTATGCAGGTGCAGACTACAACTGCACTCACCATTCTTTGTTAAAGTAGGTGCGAACTTGATATCAATATACTTTTTGAAAATAATTAACTTACCGCTGCCCAGTACTTGTATCAATATACTTTACACTTAAGGCCCCGTTTGGCCATATATTTTGGCACCGTTTTTTTAAATCTTTTTTGAAAACATTATTTGTTCATGATTAATGATCTATTTTTGAAAAATTTGTGAAATTATTTTTCAAGTTCCCAAAATCTAGTTTAGGGTAGATTTTGGGTGAAACTTGTTCTCCCACTCACAAAACTTCAAAAAATTTTCAAATAAAATGCATGTCCAAATATAATTTCAACTTCCAAAAAGTATTTTTCAAAACTACTTCAAAAATTATTTTTTCAAGTTTCAACTAAATCTATGTCCAAACGCTAGCTAACTATACTACCTATAATAGTAAAGTCAAAAAACTATTTCTCTTCACATTAATTAAAGTCAGTTTGATAGGTAAGTGTTGTCATTATAGTGAGTAATGTTGAGTGACTTTATTATTATATATTGGGTACAGGTAAAGGCAGAAAGAATAAAAGCAAGGGCACAAGAGAAGTATACAAATAAGTTGGCATCAACAAGGAGAATAGCAGAGGAGAAAAGAGCCAACGCTGAAGCAAAGCTGAATGAAAAAGCTGTAAAGACTTCTGAAAAAGCAGATTACATAAGGAGGACTGGTCATCTTCCTTCCTCTTTCTCTTTTAAGTTACCTTCTTTCTGCTGGTAGCACCTTTCTTCTTTAGTACAATTTGAAAGGCTACAGATGCGAACCAGGATTTGAAGCTACAGATTCGGAATTATTGTCCTTTTAAGTTATTGAATTATAAATTAATAATTTGTATATATTTAATAAATTTTTCAAAACAAAGTATAAATTTTGGATCAAAGTTATTGGTTTCGACCAAACCTGTAACCTAAACTCTAGGTTCGCGCTCCTGCATGCAGTCCACTACTAAAATATGTTAGAAATCATAAAATTTTGATGGAATTTCGACGGCAAAGATATTTTGAAAATTTTGATTTGGGTGAAGTTTGATTTGAAGATGAAAATGTGTTTGGACATAAGTTTTCAAAACATATTTCACTTTTATTGTTGAAAAAATATGAAACATGATTATACCAACAAGTTCTAAAAACTATCACAAATACCCAACAATACCTTTATCAATAACATTCATTATATTATAGCAAACTATAGTCCTGAACATAAATAAATTTGATACAAAATTATCATTTTATAATGAACTACATAACACACTATCAGATAACTGAGAAGACGAAGCAACATTGTTACAAAATAATAAATGGTGGGCTCTTTTATAAAATTCAAAAGTTTGGGGTAATTTTTAAAAAATGTAATGATGATATTTTGGGCCATTTGAGATTTGGATTTTGGGTTTTGGGAATTTGCCAAAATGTAGATAAAATCTAGGGAGAAATTCAAAAATAGCCAGATTTACCACTGGTCGTTGAAAAATAGCCAAGTTTCAAAAGTCATCGAAATTTAGCCACTTTAAATCTGAGCGAAAACACTGTTCAAAATCCGGAAAAATACGCCCGCAAATTTTACGGGAGTTCCAGCATAAGTATGCTTGAACTCCGTAAATTTTACGGGAGTTCCAGGATAACTATGCTGGAACTCCCGCAAATTTTACGGGAGTTCTAGCAAGTATAATTGTCCAGTATAATATACTGGAGTTTGGAGCACTGGTGCTCCAGTCTCCCGCAAATTTTACAGGAGTTAGCAAAGTTTACCGGTCCAGCATAATATGCTGGAGTTCGTACACAAATGCACCAGAACTCCCGTATATTATACTGGACCGGTCCCTATTGCAGCAAAATAGTGGCTATTTTTCATTGACTTGATAAACGCTGGCTATTTTTCATTGACCAGTGTGAAAACTGGCTATACCATGATATTTTAACTAAAATCTAAGGCCAAACGTGTATTTGTCAAAAGAACCCCAAATATATTTTGGCAAAATCTATGGCCAAACGGGTCCTAAACTTTTCGACAAGATGCCATATGACTTTTTGATTCAATCGCGAACTTTTGGTAGTTAATTTCAAAAGGTAATTAAACATTAAAAGAGGCAACTAATCCATATGCCATATGACGTTTTAATTTTTACACTTACAGCTTCCTTTTTTCCTTTTTTTTGTGCTTTTTCTAGCCTTTAGAAATACCAACATTGATAGAGGAAAAACCTGTTCATTGGTGTTTACTCCCTGATCTATAAGAGGGTTCATGAACTTTTAACATTTTTCTCTCGAAATTCTTGAATGGCACGCACTCGACATTTAAAAAAGCAGCCCTATCTCCCACAAGCCTGTTTGTCTGAGCTGTCAAAATTATTTATTTGAACATTACTTATTTAAAAGTATTTTTCAAAAAGTATTTATGAAGATTAGCAGTTTATGTTTGGCCAAATTGTTTGAAAAGTATATTTTGCAATATTTTGATAAGCAAATTGTATTTGGTCAATCTTTTCAAAAAAAAAAAACTTTTGAGTATCAAATTACGATAAAAAAGAGTAAATATTTAGTTTACAATTAGCATTATCTTAAAAAGAAAATTTAATATTTTTTATAAAAAAAGTAATAATTATTTAATTAAAGTATAAAATATAAAGTAATATATATTAAAGATTTTAATTAATATAAACTAGAAGTATATAAAAGCAATAATATTGGTAGGAACATGTGTGCTTACAAGTTACATGTATTAACACTATCAATTCTTAAGAAAACAACAAATTAGGTAGTATTGCATTATGTCAAACTATATTATATGCATGCACGCCAAAAAAAAAAGTTATAAACTGGAGATCATATAATATTGGTATACTACAAAACAAAAAAAAATTATTACCTTTTGAAGAAAATGAGTAAATTTGGTGATTAGACTTTGTATACGGTCGAAATCAGGTATGCCTCGATTTCGTAGGCTCGAGGAGTTGATTTGAGAATGAGCTCAAAACGGACCTGGCTCGAGCCCGATGGCAGAGTATGGAGCTTGAGGATCGAAGTGATCGATGAAAACCAAGGCCGAATATGACTAACCTCGAGTAAGACATAATAACAGAATGGTGAGATGTTAGCACCCAGCCGAAGGTCTCGGCGGAAATCTCAGAATGGATCATACCAAGCGGTTATCGGCGCCAATCACGGGATTTATTTTCGTAATTAGAAGTGTACCTTATTTAGGACTCCTCTATTATATAAAGGGGAGCCCATTCATTTGTACGACACGTTTTTGACAGATAATATAATACATGCACTTTATTCACTAGCTATTCTATTCACTGTTCATCAAGAGTTGCTTTGTATCTTGCTATTCCTACCATTCTACCTCGAGGCCATCATAGCTTGAGGTCGAGATTTGACTTGCACACTGGCTTGATTTATTTTATTCTTCTATTTATACATTTAATTCTTTGTTTATCAATTGGCATTGAGTTAAATCACATATCCTTAAAACCAAAATATAAGTTTAATTGTTACTCGGATTTTAGGGTAAATAGTTTGGTGCCCACGTGGGGCTAAGAATAATAGTGATTTTTTCAGTGCTGATTCTGATAACACACGTTATTTTCACACTTGTTCTTATCAAGAATTTTTGTTCTCAGGTTAAAACATGTTAAATTCACAAAATGCACCCCTACATGCTGATGATGGTATTGGATTTTACGGCGAAAACGATAACGTAATTGCTCCAGGAGCCGGGGTGCCACCGGCTAACCTCGGGGGAGTACCGGGTGCTGATCCAGTCGATGTCAGTTCGCACATTGCTTTGAATGCAGATTTAGGTGCAGACCCCGAAGGGAGTGTACGCAGGGAAGGCTGATCTGGTGGCCAAGGAACACAGGGCATTGGTGACGGGGGAGTTAGCCTCCAGGAAATATTCGAGATGCTACAGGCTCAGCAGGCTGCTATCGCTCAACTTCAAAGTCAACATAGAACCCCAAGTGTGGTCGAACCAGAGATCACTCGCCGTACCGAGCCAGTGCCAGAACGGTCAAATGGTAACGGATCAGGGATTGATCCTGTAATTATGAAGATGCTCGAGGAGCTCACCAAAAGAATCGAGTCGGGAGAGAAGAAAATCGAAGATAATGATAAAAAAGTAGAAACATACAACTACTGGGTTGATTAGATACCGGGGGCACCCCCGATCTTAAAAGGTTTGGATGCAAAAAAGTTCGTGCAAAAGCCTTTTCCTCAGAGTGCAGCTCCGAAGCCCATTCCTAAGAAATTTTATGCCGGATATACCTAAATATAACGGGACAACCGATCCCAATGAACACATCACTCTCGTACATATGCGGGATTAAAGGAAATGACTTAAATGATGACGAGATCGAGTCGGTTTTGTTGAAAAAATTTGGGGAAACTTTGTCAAAGGGAGCAATGATCCGGTATCATAACCTGCCACCAAATTCCATCGACTCATTTGCCATGTTAGCAGACGCCTTCGTGAAGGCGCACGCCGGGTCCATAAAGGTCGCGACAAGAAAATCAGACGTTTTTAAGATAAAACAGAGGAGTGATGATATGTTGAGGGAGTTCGTATCCCGATTTCAAATGGAGCACATGGAGTTGCCACCGGTCACAGATAATTGGGCCAGCCAAGCTTTCACCCAAGGGTTGCGAGCGAAGTTCGATAGAGTCACAACAGTTGAAACAAAACTTGGTCGAGTATCCAGCTGTAACTTGGGCAGATGTTCACGATCGATATCAATCAAAGATCAGGGTCGAGGACGACCAACTAGGAGCCCCTTCCGGTTCAGTACATCCAAACAAGTTAGTAGTTAAAACCCAGAGGGACATCGACAGGGAACAAAGGTCGAACAGGGAGCGATATCAACCATATACCGCATATCGAAGGAACAATAGCTCGGGACGCAAAACCCCACGGAATGATCGAAGGAACAATTGAGGACAAAATTCTCGGGGACTTATGAGTAAAAACGGTTTTGATAAGAATGTTGATCCCGTGGAGGCACCTCGATTGTCGATATATAACTTTGGCGTTGATGCATCAGGTATTGTATCAACAATCGGAAGGATCAAAGATACTAGATGGCCCATACCTAAACAAACCGATCCTTCCCAAAGGAACCCAAACTTGATGTGCAAATATCATGGCACGCATGGTCACAGAACCGAGGATTGCAGGCAATTAAGGGAGGAAGTAGCCCATCTATTCAACGAGGGCCACCTTCGAGTGTTCCTCAGCGTTCGAGCCAAGAACCATTTCAGAGACAGAGATGCCAATAGGAAAAATGAACAGGAGGAACCGCAACACATCATTCATGTGATCGTCGGCGGAGTTGATATTCCACAAGGGCCCGTATTCAAACGCACTAAGGTGTCGATTACTAGGGAGAAGCGGATCCGGGATTACGTGCCCGAGGGTTCCTTATCATTCAATGATGAGGAAGCAGAAGGCCTTTCTCAACCACACAACAATGCTCTGGTAATTTCTATCTTATTAAATAAAGTTCAAGTTAAGCGTGTTTTAGTGGATCCAGGTAGTTCGACGAACATCGTCCGATCGAGGGTCGTGGAACAACTCAGTTTGCAAGATCAAATTGTACCCGCAGCTCGAGTCTTAAATGGCTTCAACATGGCTAGTGAAACAACTAAAGGTGAGATTACTCTACAGTGAACGTGGCTGGAACCATTCAAGATACCATGTTCCACGTGATCGAGGGCGACATGAGGTACAATGCCCTACTCGGGAGGCCTTGGACCCACAACATGAGGGCAGTTCCTTCGACTCTTCACCAAATTATGAAATTCCCGACGTTGGATGGTGTGAAAACGGTGTACGGGGAGCAGGATGCGGCAAAAGAAATATTTGCA